TTTTAAATTTTAAAATAATACAGAAAAAAAGTTTTCATGTTATACAAACATTACAGACAAGTACAGGCATATACCTTGGAGATATTGCAGGTTCGATTCCATACTACCACAATGTGCAAATTTTTTGGTTTCCTGGTGCACATAAAAGTTATATATATGTACACTATACTGTACTCTATTAAGTGTGCAAAGCATTATATCTAAAAAAAGTTTATACCTTAATTTAAAAAGACTTTATTGCTAAAAAAATTGCTACCCATCAACTCAGCCTTCAGCAAGTGGTTATCCTTTTGCTGGTAGAGGGTCTTGCCTCAGTGTTGATGGCCACTGACTGATCAGGATGGTGGTTGCTAAAGGTTGGGGTAGCTGTGGCAATTTCTTAAAATAAGACAACAGTGAAGCTTGCCACATCGAATGACTCTTCCTTTCATGAATGATCTCTCTGTAGCATGTTATCCACAGAACTTCTTTCAAAATCAGAGTCAGTCCTCTCAAACCCTGCTGCTGCTTTATCAATACTTTGTTGTCATCTCAACAATCTTCAAAGCATCCCCACCTGGAGTAGATTCCATCTCAAGAAGCCACTTTCTTTGCTCACCCATAAAAAACAACTCCTCATCCATTAAAGTTTTATCATGAGATTACAGCAATTCAGTCACATCTTCAGGCTCCACTTCTAGTTATCTTGCCATTTCTACCACATCTGCAATTACTTTCTCCACTGAAGGCTTGAACCACTCAAAGTCATGACGGCTGGAATCAACTTCTTCCAAACTCCTCCTAATGCTGATATTCTGACCTCTTCCCACGAATAACAAATGTTAACAGCATCTAGAATAGTGAATCCTTTCCAGGTCTTAATATATTTTGCCCAGATCCATTGGAGGAATCACTATCTGTGGCAGCTATAGCTTTACGAAATGTGTCTCTTAAACAATAAGACTTCAAAATCAAAATTACTGCTTGATCTATGGAATGCAGAATAGATATTGTGTTAGCAGGCAGGAAAATAATATGAATCTCATTGTACATCTCCACCAGAGTCTTGGGTGACCAGGTGCATTGTCAATGAGCAGTAATATTTTAAAAGAAATCGTTTTTTCTGAACAGGTCTCAAAAATAGGCTTAAAATATTCAGTAAACCATGATGTAAACAGATATGCTGTCATCCAGGATTCGTTGTTCCATTTGTAGACATAGGCGGAGTAGATTTAGCATAATTCTTCAGGGCCCTAGGATTTTTGGATGGTAAATGAGCACTGGCTTCAACTTAAAGTCACCAGCTGCATTAGCCCACTTCTCCTCTCTAGCTATGCAAGTCTTACGTAGTATCTTCTTCCAATACAGTATAAGGCTGTTTCATCTACATTGAAAATCTCTTGTTTAATGTAAACAACTTCATTAGCTTAGATAGATCTGGATAACTTGCTGCTGCACCTTGTACTTTTATGTTATGGAGACGGCTTCTTTCCTTAAACCTCATGAGCCAACTTTTGTTAGCTTCACACTCCCTTCTGCAGCTTCCTCACCTTTCTCAGCCTTTACAGAACTGAAGAGAATTAGAGCCTTGCGTTGGATTAGGCTTTAGATTAAGGGGATATTGTGGCTGGTTTGATCTTCTATCTGGAACACTAAAACTTTTTCCGTATCAGTGATAAGGCTGTTTCTCTTTCTTATCACTAAATGTTCACTGGAGTTAGCACTTTTAGTTTCCTTCAAGAACTTTTCCTTCACGTTCACCACTTGGGCTGTCTGGCACAAGAGGCCTCGCTTTCGGCCTGTCTCAGCTTTCAACATGCCTTCCTCACTGAGCTTCGTCGTTGTTAGCTTTTAATTCGAAGTGAGAGATGTGTGACTCCTCCTTTCATCTGAACACTCAGAGGCCATGTAGGGTTATGAATTGGCCTAATTTCAATATTGTTGTGTCTCAGGGACTAGGAAGGCTGAAGAAAAGGGAACGAGAAGAGGAACGGCCAGTTGGTAGAGCAGCAGTCAGAACACACAGCATTTATCAATTAAGTTCTCCCTCTTATATGGGTGCACGTCGTGGTGCCCCCAAACAATTACAATGGCAACATCAAAGATCCCCTGATCACAGATCACCATAAAAAATACAATAACAGAAAGTTTGAAATATTGCGAGAATTACTAAAACGTGACACAGAGACATGAAGTGAACAAATGCTGTTGGAAAAATGGTGCTGAGATAGACTTGCTCAACGCAAGGTTGCTATAAACCTTAAATTTGTAAAATAAAAAAAAAAGTAATATCTGAGAAGCACAGTAAAGCAAAGCTCAATAAAATGACGTATGTCTGTGTTAAAAAACTTTGACCTCTCTCCACACATTTCTTTTTTACTTGAACCAAGTCAGATTTGTGAGCCAAAAAAAAAGTTTCATGACTGTTTTCACTGAACAACTTTACATAAATTATCACCCAATACTAGAGGCAATCTTTTAAAACCCTATTATTTGGTCTCAGTTCAGAAATGTGGAAAGCCGAAAAGATGCTTCTCCTGGCTTTATACAAGAAGAATAAAGAAATGTAGAAAAGACTGTAAATTAATGACTTTTGGTGAACTCAATCAGAAAACTGTCACAGGGCAAACAGCCCTCATAAAATCCGAAAAGAGACAGGTGGCTTCGGGGAGCCCAAGGACCAGAGTATTTGATTACCTCAGACAGAAGCCTATAGGAAGATGAACTAGAATTTCTGATCACTTGCTAGAGACCAAGTTGGGCAAATGTGACAGTATGACGCTCCTGGGAGTCCCAGTCATGGGAAGTTCCCACCCTGGCTGCCTTTTCCTCCGAAATCCAATCAGGCTCTCCTAGGGGAGACTGGAAAAAGCTCCCTGCATGGTGCTGGCTGGGAGAGGGAAACTGCAGACACAGCTAAATCCTTTCCCCTGCTTTCCATACAGAAGGAAAGGCTAAATCCGCAGGGAAGGAAGGACTTCAAAGCCTGCAGCCAGGGCTCTGAGCGAGTTCCACGCTGCGGTGGAGGTGGGGAGTGGAGGCCTACAAAACAAAAGCCTCATCTCATCTCTATCTTTGTTGCTCCAGAGGCCCATGCCTTTCTAAATAAATGCCTGCTACACAGGATTTCCTTATCATGGGAGTTAACTATTGTACATGGCACCCCTAACTCAACTTGTTAAAAAAATATATATTTCCAACAAATCTTTCTCCAGCAAATCTCCCTGCCCTGTCCACTTCTCATAACTGCCTACAGCGCTGCCGTCAGTGGCATTTTCCCTCACTCCGGCATGAAATAAAAAGGCTTCTAGCTCTCTCTACGGCCTCGCTTAGAAGGGTCACAGTTCTGCGTGGGGGACGCACTGTCTCTGACGCACATGGAAGAGCCAGCATTGTGCCCAGGACCACTCGGCCCACAGGCCCTGCTGAGTCCAGTTCCTTCTTCTCTCTCTGTGGTTTATGCCCCAGGTCACAACAGCCCCATCCATGGACCTGGATTCGGTCGTGTCTATTCCACCTATGTGCATGTTTAAATATGAATCACTGACATTGTTCTAAGTTCTTTTTCCAGGCAACTCCTCCACTCCCATGTATATCAGCTGACTAAGATTTATAAGGGTAAGAAGGGATATCCCAATGTTCATTTGCCCATCTCTACTTAGGCGTAACTGAGAAACCTTCTGCGATAGTTACCCTGCCAGAGGCTGTAGAGCGCAGTAGGTAAGACCATGGAGCCAGATCTCCTGAATTCAAATCCCATCTCCTATTTATGAGCTGTGTGATCTTAAAGCATCTAATTTACCTCCTGTCCCTCAATTTCTAATCCATTAAATAGAGATAACACCACAATCCCTTAATTGAAAACACTTGATTCCAGATGCGTTTCAGAATTCAGAAAATTTTCTAGGTTTTGGAAAGGTAACAAAGTACGTATTACATACTACATGAAACACCCTGGGTGGAGTCCGGGTCACTCAAATGCTTTAGCACTTCCCCACCAAACCATGAATATCTGTACTAGTTAGGATAAGGACAAGAGGAGCTTCAAGTACATTCAAGTCATATTTTGCCACCAAAAGCATTTACTAAAAACTAACTACAAACCTTTGGTTTTGAGGTTTTAGAACTGCAGATAAAACATGTGTAGTGTCTCCTCCATAGGACTATAAAGAGAATCAACTGAGCTAACACATATCAAGTACTTAGAATAGCACATGGCATATAGTTAAGCACTATATCAGAGCAACCTGTCATTTTCATAGGCAAGGTACTTGTCAGGCTGTGTGAGGGTACATTATATGAGGGCTGCTGCTACAAAAATACCACAGACTGGGTGGCTTACACAACAAAGCATTTGTTTCTCACAATTCTAGAGGTTGGAAAATCTAAGATAAAGGCTCCTGCAGACTCCGTGTCTGGCGAGGTCCCATTTCCTAGCTCGTAGCTGGCTGTCTTCACACTGCGTGCTCCTTCACGAAGCAGGAGAGGTGAGGGAGCTCGCTGGAGTCTGCTTCTGAAGGGCACTGATCCCACTCATGAGAGCTCCACCCTCCTGACCTAATCACCTCCCAAAGGCCCCGCCTACAGCTACCATCACTTCGGGAATAGATGAATTTAAAACATGAATTTGGGGGTGACACAAACATTCAGTCTATTGCGAAGAGATTAAAAAAATGAATAAAAATGATTTCTTCCTTGCAATGTGATAAAGTAGGACATCTAAGCTCTGGAAGAGCTTAGTACAATAGTAGCTAACACGTATAAAATTATTATATGCCAAAAATTATGCTAGATTTTAAGTGACTTATCTTATTATTCATAAACATTCTAAGGTAGATACCATTTCCACTTTTTATATATGTCTAAAAGGAGGCTGACAGAACCAAGTAATGTGCCCACGTAGTGGACCCATATTTAAACCCAGGCATGCCAACTTGAAGATCCATGCTCTTCTCCATAACCTTATGCCATCTCCTACAAGTTTTATCTGTCAAGTCTTGACACTAAAATTAGGAACCATGGTATACCAAGGTCAACAACACCTGCCAGTATTTCTCTATTTCCGTGACAATGACATTTTAAGTTACACATATTTTAATAATGCCAGCAAAACAAAGTCCAAACTTACCAAATGCTGCAGGATGATATTAGTCCTTTTGAATGAATTAAACCTGAAAGAAATGTAGAATTCAATGAACACAGTAATGTGAGTGGTCATGTTTCAATGTATAAATACTATACTCCCTTTTGCTTTAGCCTCTTCTAAACATGTTAGAACAAAAAAAGGTTTTAAAAAAGGTTTAACTCTCGTTCATCGCTGGTAGAAACAAATGGTATAGCCACTTTGTAAGATGGTCTGGCAGTGTCTTACAAAACTAAGCATACCTCATGATATGATTCAGCAATTGCACTCCTTGATACTTACCCAAATGAGTTGAAAACTTACATCCACAATAAAACCTGCACATGAATGCTTATGGTAGCTTTATTCATATAGCCAAAACACAGATGTAACCAAGAAGCCCCTCAATAGATGAATGGATAAACAAACTATTTTACCTATATAATGGAATACTACTCAGCAATAAAAAGAAATCAGCTATCATTCCACAAAAAGAGGAATTTAAATGCACACTGCTAAGCAAAGAAGCCAATCTGAAAAGGCTATATACTATATGATTCCACTACAGAACATTCTGAAAAAGGTAAAAAACTGTGGAGACAGTAAAAAGATCAGTGGTTGCCAAAGAGAGGGAAAAACAGATGGAACACATGGAATGTTTAGGGCAATGAAACCAGTCTGTGTAATTGTAATGGCAGAGACACATCATTATATATTTGTCAAAATTTTCTGCTCAATTTTTCTGTAAACCTAAAACTGCTCTAAAAAATAAAGTCTATTATTATTATTTTTTTAATTTGGTAAGGATGCAATAAGCATTCGCAGACTTTGTACGATATATAAATTGGTATTGCCCCTTCAGTAGTCAATCTGGAAACACAGATCCACAACCTTTAAAAGGATTATGCCCTTAGGCCTAGTAATTCCACAAGCATTTGTATTAAAGACATCTCAGAGAAATTATTAAGGTTTGTTTATAAAGTTGCTCACAATAATTACTTATATAAGGGAAAAACTGGAAACTAAATAAATATCTAATAATATAGTAATGTTTTTAAACTGTCATCTATACAAAAACATCACATGATCAATAAAAATATTTAAAAACATTTAAATAATACATATCACATGGGAAATAGTCATGACAGAAGTTACAAAAAGGAAGCAGACTATAAAACAGTAAGTACAATACTTCTAAATTTTTTTAAAATGTGTTTGTTAAGCTAAGAATACAAAGCCTAAGACACAGCTTGACAAACGTGGTCAGTAATTACAGAAGTCAGAATGGTGGCGGGTGGGGGACGCTGGGAAAGGGCATGAGGCAACAGTGAGTGCTGGATATCGTCTCTATCCAGATGATGGTTACAGGACTGTATACGTATGTAAGAGTTCACTGAGTGACAGAGCTTCAAAACAGCACATTTAAGAACTTTAAAATTAAACAAAGTAAAAGCAACCTGGGGCATGAGGAGGGCTTCTGGGATGCTGGTACTCCTGTTTTTTTTATCCAGGTACCAGTGAAATGGGTATGTTCAGTCTGTGAAAACTCATTAAATTGTACCTGTAGGCTTTGGGCCTTTTTTAAAAGTTCCCAAAACATATCACTCTTGCCTCTGAGAAACTCAGTACAGTGAGAGAGACAGATATAAAAATACTGTAGTTAGAATATACCGGGATGCATGTTAAACAAGAAGTGAAATTTAAGGCATATGGAGACAGCTCAAAGCTGGAATCAGTAGCGGCAGCAGCTTGATAGGACTGTACATGTGTAGATACATATACCATCTGATGGAACTAAAAAAATGCTGATAAATTTTTCAAAGATACTTTGAGATTACTTGAGGGGCAACAGTTTAGCTGAGGCATTAAAAAAAAGAAAAAAGCAGTATGATCATTGTTACCATTTGTAGCCACATCTTAGATGACCGAATTTATAAAAATATTTGTAATCCAACTCACTTTTCAGAATTTACATTACTTTCCTTTTACATTACATTTAAATGGATCAACACTACAAAAAAGGGCTGGGAAAATCACTATCTGTGTAAATCAGTCACACTTCACATTCCTGGACTAGACTGTTTTGAATGTGCCTTGCCACAAGTAAAATATTCTCATCCTAGTCCAGTGATTCCACAACTTGTCTGCACATTACAATCACCTGGAGGCTCTTGTAAACATTCCAAGGCCCAGGTCACATCCAAGACTAATTAAAATCAAACTCTGTAGGTAGGACACAGGCATAGGTATTCTGTTTGACCCTCCCTCAAATGATTCCAATGTGCAGACAAGTGATCATTAAAATTAATACTTTATAAAAATTAGACTGAAGTGACAGATTCTTGCCTATTTAGGGATGTTTTCTAAACAGGGTTGTCATACAGACTTTGAAAATCTGAACTACAGGACCCTGCAACACCATTTTTAAATTTTTTCAATTGTATCTTTATAGAAGTTTTTATAAGTATCAGAAAATGTAAGCACTGATTTCTTTAGATGAGAATAACTTGAATTCCTTAATGAGGTCAGTACTCAAATGCCAGTTCAAGGTTACAGACAATGCTGCCAGATTGGCAAGTTTTATGTAACAGTTTAAGTACTACCTGCGACAGAGAGAGTACACCGAGTAACACAGGCCTAGCTTCAAGTCCCAGTTTTATTTGTGAGGCAGAATTTTATTTCACTCAAAGAAACTTTACAAAAACCTATTAAATGCAGGTGCAAAGCCCTGAGCATAGCATTCGTAGGTCACAAAAATCTCTGGACCAACTATTACAAAACAGAAAACACACCTAAGAACAACTAAGTTCCTTGCCAGATTTTATATAATCATATGGCTTCTATTTGTTCTGATTCATACCCAGCTGTTACTTAAAATCTGATATTAACTTTTGTATCTCAAAAATGTATTTTGAGTATTCAGAATCCCCAAGTAATTCTGGATTTAGGGTCTTTTCTTTCCTTCCTACCGGCTCCAAAACGGTCATCTGGTGGTGAAGGAAGAGGGCATGCACATCCCAGCTACTGTAAATTTACTGATTGGCTTTCTCAGGCTTATTTCTTTCAGGTTATGGTCCAATTGGCTGCTTGGGGCAGTTCTCAAATTGTGGTTCCTTGATGACATCATCAGCATCCCCTGGGAACTCGTTAGAAATGCAAATTCTTGGCCCCACCCCAGACATCCTGAATCAGAAACGGTGCGATGAGGCCCAGAAATCAGTGTTTAACAGGCCCTTTAGGTGATTCTAATACATGCTAAAATTAAAAACAACTGTCTTAAAAGGATAAGAAGGTTACCATAGGGGATTTTTACAATTATCCAACAAAACACACATGGGCTCACATAACTAAACTAGTTTTCATGAAACTGTTTAAGATGATGATACAATGAAAACAGTCTTTAATGAAGCTTATTGCAGCAGAAACACGCAAGGTAGAATGTGAATAGAGCAGAAAATCAAGTACAAGGCCAAGTAACTCAGTCATGAACTAATGAAGAACAGCAGCTGTGGAAACAGAAAGGAATGATTTTGAGTTATTATGAAATAAAAACTCAATGGATAAAGAAAAGAATTATGCCAAAGACAACTCCCAGATTTCAAGCCAGGATAGTTACAAGAATATAGGTACTGAAAAGACTGAGAAGGAAACTAGCTGGTTTATAGGATAAAATATGAATTTCATTTTTAATTTCTTGAGGTTGTACTGACATTAAATAGAAATATTCAACATCAACTGGAGAAAAAAGACGAACTTGAAAAAAAAGTTAGGACTATAGCCATGTTAGGAAGTCACATGCACAATTACTGAGGCAGCCAGCTCTCTATGAAGAATAACTGAGAAATAATCTACAGTCGAAAACTAGTGGCCTGAAGTCGGCCTGGGTCTACAAATGTGTTTTGTTTGGTCAGCAGTGTTTCAAAATTACAAACATTTAAAAATCAAGAGATTTCACCTAAAGTGCAGTTTTCCAGCTTTTCAAAAAAAAAAAATTAGTAGCTATGGAAACCCTAGATCCACACTTTATAATGGCAACAATGCCTAGAATTGAGAAGCCACCTCCTTTAGACAGAGCGCTGCTGCCATCCCATCCCTGCCATCCCATCCCACCAGCATTACTCAACACTTCCTTCTTAGCCTCTCTCTGCATTTCGGTTTGTGACTCCTAGCACAGGAAAAACAAATATAACAGAGAATCAAATACTGAGCCTTCAGAAACAACTATGTAGCAGTAAAATAAAAAGAAAAGAGGCAGCTCAAGAAGAACCAAAATAATGTAGTTCAACAGAATATTACAGAGCAGACAGATAAGGGAACAAGTACTATTAACAACTTAAAGATCAACCCCTTTAAAGAACTTCCATCTTCCTTTCTAAACCTGGCTCTTTCATAACTGTACTTTTCCTTTAAGACGTTTTTCAGATGAGTTGGTAACTAAGTATACTTTTATGTAAATATTTGTTTCATTATCTGTTCTCCTTTCAGACCTCAAAGAGTTTATAAAAGAAACAATGAAGAATATCAAGTACTCCAGGTTGGCTACAGGATAATATCTCAGAAACAAGAACATAACATTAAGTATTGTTGCATTCATGAAGTAAATTGGGGCCAAATTTTTGAAACCCAGGATGGGAACTTTTAAATTTAATTCCAGAAGCACCTCTAAGAGCTTCTGAACAGAGGATTGTCAGGCAATGAAGGAAATTTTAGCAGGATTAATCCGATAGTCATGTGCAGATTCAAAACGGGAAGAGTTAAGTCCACCAATCAAGTTTCTGCAAAATGAACAAGTGATAAATTTGAGAAGATTGCTCAAATTTGAATCAGCAGGAAGAGATAAGGATTGGGAGTGTGGGAGAACTCAGACAACTTAAGGTATCTAGAAGAATGCGAGTGTCAAGACGTTGCAAATGCAGATGCTGAGTAAAGGTTACACTTATTTGCAAATTTATAGTTGAGGAGCAAATGCGACTCAGGTGGTTCTGACTAGCACTAGCTCAGGATAAATCAAGGTTAGAAATACAAATTTGAGAGTTATCTTTGGAGAGTTGTTTTATTTGGGAACAGAGGAAATTTCCAATGGCTGAAATGGTACTAGGGCAAGATGAGTAGTGGAGGGTGGTAAAAGGAAATCAAGAAAGTGCCAGGAAAGCCAGGGAGGCTGGAATTCAAGAGGGACTGCCCAACAATGCAAACCACAGTACAGGCCTTCTTTCCTCTGAGAAACACTCTCTGCAGCATTCTATTTATTAATACACCTGTGGGTTAGGACGTTGTAGACTGGATGACCTTGAGCTCAGGTCTGTGTTTTCCTAGGGTAATACCCACTCCAGGGCTGGCCCTGGAAAAGGCATCTCTGATCAAAGCCCGGAACTACTCCAGGTCTGACCTAGTCTGCACCTTGAAATGTGTGAGTGGAAAAAAGCCAACCTGAACTCTGGGAATGACATTCTTTCCCTAGTCCATTAACTTTGTTAATAAAAGTGTCTTCCCAATTTGCTTCTCAAATAATTTGGGATTTGCTCACAATTTCAAAAAATCAACAGCAATGATTACATGTACTGACTTGCTCAGTATTTACCAAGTCTCTCCATGAGCTGGTTAGAGGGAAACTAATTTCAAGGTATTTTTTCTTTTTTAAAAAGGTAAGCAATGCTTCCATTTCTCTTCAAATATTTATTGAGAACCAAGTCTGTGGATACAATGTTAAGCAACTAGACACCCTCGCCTAAAGCTCTCATCCCTTCCCCACCAAGCAAACTCAAAAACTGAAGAACCCAGGAATTTAAGTTGTGGAAGAAATAAGATGATTCTCCCTTCAAGTGGTCACAGCTGCTACCTGGCAATGTATGGGGACAGGCAGTAGGCTTCAAGATTGATGTAGCCTAACTTCCTAAAATGACTGCTCCCAGATTTCCTCAGCTGAGCCCAAGCTGCACTGAGTAGCGCTTTCAAAAGTTAAACATAATGTTTGCCCATACACTCCACCAAGCCACGTTATGTGTCGGCAACATTAGCCTGGAATTTCCAAACACCTGTATTAACTAACGCTGGAACCATCCCATCCGACAGAGCTGAACAATAAAGTCACACTATGAGCACAGGTGCAACCAACTGGCAAAGCATGAGCATTTGTTAGCTGCACAAAAAGTGCCACAAAATTCCTCCAAGTTGAAACCCTGAGTCCCCCAAACTATACTCAACCGTTAGGAAAGAAATTGGGGTCAAAAGGAAAGGCGTGCAGGGTCAAGGCTGATTAAGACCCAGAGCGGCAGAAAATGAAGGTGATGCTTCAAAGAAGGTGCTAGAAGGAGTAAGGACGAGACACGCAGGAGGGCTGGGAGTGCGCCAGCCCAGGCGGGGCTCAAGTCTGAGGTCTGCATCTCCTGCAAGGCGATTCGAAACTTCCAAGCCAGGAAGTCCCCACTCCCGACCCTTCTTCACCTCTGCGAGCACAGCAGATGAGCCTGAGCTAGGCCGCCCGCTCGTTCCCTCACTCACCTCGCCGTGAGTTCCCACAACCTCATCGCAAAAACACTTGCGAGTCAAAGCAGCGAGGACGGGGCTCCCAGATGGCTCCTCACGTCTCACGTCAGACCCGCCCACCGTCTCCGTGCGCCGCCGGACACAGATGACAAGTCCTCCAGGCAGCCAGAGCGGCCCACGGCGGGATTTTACGCTACGCGGCGCT